TAAGACACATTCGTTTTGCCAACAATTCCTATAAATTTTAGCACACATCAAGGCCATGAATTTATTTTTATATTTCTTCTTGTAGTGTCAGAGTAAATTTTTGGTGATAAGACTTGGTTTGCGTGGCTGACGACAGTTTATTTGTGCAGATCATGAAATAGTCGCAAGTTTTATCATTGAGAAGCCAGTTGCTTTGCTGGACAACAATATTTTGCAGCTTGAGAATGATATTTTTGATGAGATTGGCTTTCCCACCACAAAAGTATCTACTTCCCTTGCTCACTTTCTAATTATGTACATGTAGTTTATATTATTCATCCAACTTGTTCTTTGAACCAGGTGGTTATCTTATCTCTTGAACCTTCAGCTGGATCAAACATAACTAGGGTTGTGTTTGCCATTGACCCTGATTTGCAATATTCGAAGATATCTCCAATGGCTCAGAGTTTGATCAGGGCATCTTTTCTATCTTTGGTTATACACCAATCATCTCTCCGATTGACTAAATCCTTGTTTGGAGAACCATTCTTCTTTGAGGTGCTAAAATTCCCAGGAGGAATTACAGTGATTCCGCCACAGAGCGCATTTCTTCTACAGAAAGTCCAAATCCTTTTCAACTTCACTCTAAACTTTTCTATATATCAGATACAAGTAAATTTCAATGAACTGAAGAGTCAGTTGGCATCGGGTTTGGATCTAGCACCATATGAGGTTGGTCATTTTCTAGGGGGATATTTTTGTTTTGTAATTAGTACTTCTATCTGCAGCCTGTGTGAATATCTTTGGCTGCTAGAGAAGTAATGTATTTATGCATTGAAAATTGGGCATGGAGAGGAAGCAAGTAGTAACTTCAAATTTCATTAATTTTACTTGTCATATAGGAGTACATTTTATGGAGATTGATACGTTGAGATATGCTCAGTAAGCTTTTTGGAAAATTTTCTCAATACATACAGTAATTATCACACTAAAGTCTAATCCTATCATTTTGTGGATGCAGAACTTATATATAAGCTTATCAAATTCCAGAGGTTCAACAGTTGCTCCCCCTACAACTGTCCAGTCATCCGTTCTGTTGGCAGTGGGGAATACTCCTTCAATGCCCAGATTGAAGCAGCTAGCCCAGACCATTACAGATTCTCATTCAAGAAACCTTGGATTGAATCACACTGTATTTGGTAGGGTTAAGCAAGTTCGTCTTTCATCTATCTTGCAACATTCTCTCCATGGTGGCAGTGGAACATCCTCCTCTCCTTCTCCTGCTCCTCTGCCTCATCACCACCATCATAAACATCACGGCCACCACCATCACCATAGCGCTCATTTAGCTCCTGAGAATTCACCATCTCCTGCAACTGATAAAGGCTCACATGCGAGCAGGAGAAGTGCAGCTGCACCTAAACATAATTCTCCTGCTCCAGAAAAAAGTTCACCTGCGCCTCATAAACCTCCTGGTTGCCAGTTTGGGAAAAGGAGGCATAATAATACCAGAAAGAATCCTCGATTAGCTCCTAGTATTGCCCCTACTATCTCTCCTCAATCTTCTGCTACCTCACCTCCAAAGCAGCTACATCCACCAGCACGTCATCCACCAACACGTCATCCACCAACACTTCATCCACCAGCGCTGCCACCTGCACCTGTCTCTCATTCCGTTTCAGGATCTAGTCCTTTGCCAAATGTGGTGTTTGCTCATGTCCAGCCACCTTCCAAAAGCGAATCAGATAAACAGCATTCCAACAAAATGCCAATAATTTCACCGTCACCGGCTTCATGTGAGTTTTCTACTGAATTTTGGCTCTTTTTTGCAAGCGAAAGCTATAAAGAATCTGAAATTCTTTTTTCCGATTGCCTAAAATGTGTCAGATTTTCTTTTATTTTTTTTTTTCTAATGAAAATAGAAGGAAGCCTGACATAGTTTTATGTGGTTGATGTCTGAAGTTTTTGTTTCGCATGCCCAATCACACATCAATTGTCTGTTATGGTCATTTGTCAATCTTATTATTTGTTGCATGATCTGTTTTCATCTAAGTATTCGAATATAAATGATAGTTTGGATCTTTTTCTATCATTTTCAAGTCTTTGTAAAAATCAGTTAAGTTTTATTACTTAATGTGGTACTAGGGTCAGAGGTTTAGATTGAATCTTGACAACTACAGTTCTGTTACACTTTACTTTCAAACAAGGTATCGTAGGTAGGTACTGGATAATTGCATTCAGTCTGGTGGGATTTCACTTGTGGAAGCTTATAGGATATAAATAATATATTTAGAGATCATTTTTTACTAGTTCAAATCTATATTTGTTGTTGGATTTTATGTATCTCCCCATTGTAGCATTCATTTATCTTTCCTCTTAAAGTTGTGGTCTACTAGGCATAGAACCTTTCTTAAAATGAGAAAGTAACTTTCAGTTATATTTCTTTAGTCTGATATATAAATCAAAGTGCTAATCAGTGGATAATTTGCAGCTTCTGTAGGTTGTCCAACTGCTCCATGGGCAATTTTACTCTTGTTAGCTATGGTACTACATGTGTAACAAGGGAGGAACTGCCTATATTCTAGTTATAAGAAAAACTTCTCTAGTATTTGAGGTACTCAATTGTATAATTTAATTGAATCGAACCGAACAAAACTGGAGGAGTTTTTTATAAGTGGGAGCAAAATGCAGAGGGTGTGTGCTTGGCAATGTGATGAGTGAATGTAATGTCTCCTTTTGTGCGTGTAAATATTCCTGATTAAGAAATCAGCCGGCATGTGCAGTTTTTGGTCAAAGTCACATTAGGTGGCAGGCCCCTTTTGATATTGTGCATTGCCGCTGTTCTGTGTATTTCTCTTCTGCAGAAACGCCTGAGGGAGAAAAGCAAAGAAACCCTTTATATGTGTTAAAGATTTAAGTCGATCAGGGACGATGTTTTTTAAATTCGAAAGGTGTCAGTTTTTCCAGTATTGTTTTTGTTGAATCATCTGGTTTTTTCTAGCTTGTTAGAAGAAGGTAAAAAAACTCTCTTATTTTCTAGTCCTTTAAATCATAAAATTTGTTAGGGAAGTTTATGGTGTTCGTAAGTAATGTTGAAACAATTAATTGTTTGGTAATAATGATATTTAAAAACTATTTTTTTTTTTCATAATATGAATGTCTAACAGTGTTATCGTCCCAATTACTATAATGAGATAAATTTCACTGTAATGTTCTTTAGAGAAAAAAAAAATGCAATTAACAGTATAAAAAGTGCTGCTTCATACAGTCGATCACTTAGGAACTCTTTAAAATCTAAAGTGAAGTTTTTCCTTTTTCATAATCCGAAACCTGAAAAACTACAAGGACCAAGTAGCAGATGGAAGCCAGCGGTTTAGGATGTTTAGATATCCGCAGGCACCCGTTTGTACAAATGAGAAGGCAACCGTGGAGTGGCCACAGCTTGTATAGGCGTCCTCATGTAAGTAACCAATCCAGGGTTTTCAGCCATGTCAATCTCATCTGCGCTCAGACCCTCGGCCGGAGACCAGACGAAATGGTGCAACAAATGACCCAACATGGAGGTGACCAGGTTTATGCCCAGCTGCGCACCAGGGCACACCCTCCTCCCTGCTCCAAATGGCAGCAGCCTGAAATCATGACCCTTCATGTCTACATCCTCCTCCAGAAATCTCTCCGGCCTGAACTCCAATGGGTTCTTCCACACTGCCGGGTCTCGTGCCACTGCCCAGACATTCACATGAACGTTGGAGCCTTTTGGGATGTCATAGCCGCCAATCTTGACGTCAGCATTGGCTCGGTGGGGGAGCATCAGAGGGGTTGGTGGGTGCATCCTTAATGCCTCTTTTGCTACACATTGGAGGTAGGGTAGGCTTGAGAAGTCAGTTTCTGTCATTACCCGTTCAAATCCGATCACTCGATCTAGCTCCTCCTGAGCCTTTTGTTGTACTCTTGGGTTCTTGATTAGCTCGGCCATTGCCCACTCTACTGAGATAGCTGTCGTGTCCATTCCTGCAGTGATCATGTCCTGCAACAGAAGTTCATTGCCACAACATTAACATTCTTTCCTTTTCTTTTAGAGTCTCCTTTGATTTTGGTTGAAATGATATACTATGATCATTATCTTAAAAATTTAAACTGATTCAATTTATAATTTATATTTTCATATATTACTTTTCTTTCAAGATTATATTATTTTGGTGATCCAAAATTTCAAGGATTCATCTTTTCATAAGTTGAACTTACCCACAAGAGTCCAATAATGGTGTCTTCGCTGAGGTCATATTTATCCTTCATAGTGAGCAATGCATCAACAAAGTGTTGTTTGGCACCACCAGACTTTTGGCGAGCAAGGGTGTGCTCCTCCATGATGGCTCGAGTCAGACGGTCCCTTCGTGCACCATGCTTGGCAAAGGCCTCTTCCTCTAATGGGAACATCCAGCGAAGCCAGGGGATATGCTCTGCCATGGCCAGTGAAGCACCCAGCTTCAATCCATTGGCAACAATGGTCTTGAACTCCAAGCCTTGTTCGTCCATTATGCCCTCTGCATTCACAAATCGCTTCCCGAACGCTAGCCTGGTTATGTTGTTGAATGCCACTGCTCCCAAGTATTTCTTTACCAACAAACTTTTCCCAGCATTCTCTGCATATCAAAATAATTTTAATTCAAGAACTATTTTTAGTGTTTACCATTAGACAGTAATATCCATTAATATTCTCCACTTCAATGAGGAGTGATTTTACTATTCAATCTTTCTCTAATTACTATTCAGTCCTACTATGCCCGTCAAGAAAAACAGTATAATATGTATATATATATATCATATACATACAGTATATACAGAGTGGTGGTTTTCACGTCAAGGAGACCACGTATGAAAATAATATTTACGAGAAATGGTGGTTAGTCGCTTACAACCAAATTGAAGATGAACCACCTAATATTCTCTGACTTTGGGTCATGTATAAAATAATAAGTTTAAAGTTCCTTTCTTTTCAATATATTAAAAAATTTCATGTTCAAAAAACATATTATCATTTTAGGTATCCTCATAGAAACTATAATAAATTGGTGTCCACAAATTATCTTTAATTACAAGATCATTCACAATAAATTAATATATAAATATGATAATTATTAAGGAAATTCTAGATGAGAATATGATTTTCTTCTTTAAAAGCACACAAATAATTTTGAAATTCCAAAAAATGAACAAAATTAATCATCAAAATGGGTTCAAGAGAAATATGAAATATTAATGCCAGAAACTATACTAAAACAGATTGATAATTACTGAAAACTTTCAGATCCACTGAATCTAGTCAAAGTTTATAAGTCCTGTATCTACAAAATTCATATCTACATCCCAAAATTGGTCATTCTTGGGCAGTTCTATTCGCACTCCTAAAATTATTAATCGTACTCTTGATCCTTTGTATAAATGAGCAGAGGCCAGATTTCAGAAGAGTGAGCGTTCTGAATTTTGAGAGTGGCAATTCGTAAACTATTGACTACAAAAACTCCGGATTACATGTGATTTGTATTATTATTACTACTATAAAACTATCACCATCAACATCAAAGCTATACGATTAAAATAAATATCTGAAATAACAAAGAAGCAAAATGCGGGGAAGAAAAATACAAAATACACACACAGAAAAGTAAACAAAATAAAGAGATAAGAAAGCGGACAAACCGGGTCGGGTGCAGTCAACGAAAATGGACTCAACCATGGCGGTGACCTCATCCTCTCTGATTGGTCTCAAAGCTTCGAGTCTCTTCGGAGTGAACAGCTCGAGATTGCACATCTTCCTCACCTTAACGTAGTGAGGCCCATAGTCTGCCCAGATAAGATCCTGGCCGTCCCTGCTAAACTTAGCCGCGGATCTGCTCCTGTGCCGATCCGCCAACTGCTGATCCTCCTCCTTCAACACTTCTCTGGCCAGTTCCGAGTTGGAAACGATGACGTTCA